TATAGAAATAAACTGAATAGAATTGAATATTTGCCTAATTAGTTCAAATTAACTGAGCAGAAACCAAAAGCAGTGAGAAAACTCAATGGTTAATAATTATTATCACCCAAACTATTCAGATGTCTCTGATAAAAACATTGTAGAAATCACTGTTAGCTTGGAGCTTGCGCTGCTAACTGCTTCTTCATTGGTGTAAAAGAGCGGGAGTCTCTATGGCAACCAGACAGTTATTTTTTCTGAGCCCTGGTTCTTCTATTTTCTAGCAGCTCATTCTTTCTCTTATTTGTTGATGGAATTTTATCGAGGTTTGGTTATTAGCTAGTAGCTATGCTGGGACCTTAGATTTTTGCTTTCCGACGCTTCTTTGGAGATGATTTCCCCAATCATATGTCTTTCTTTTTACTTTCTATTTTGTGTTCTTTCTCCTGCAGTCTGTACCCAACGTTCTACACATTTGTTGTTTATCAGTGCATTTGGCTATTATTTAAAAGTACATCTTCAGTGTTACGTTTTCATTGTATGTTTTATAATTTAAAGATCTTTGTTCTCCTTTTCAGCTCTTGAATCTTTTTTCTTCCACGAACACTTTAAAAGATGGCCCGATCTTTTCGCAAAGGGAATCTGGTAAACATCACCACAAAAACATTGTAGATATCCTTAAAATCATTAAATAAATAAAAAAAATATCTTCTGCTTTTCCTAATGCGTTTTTTTTCAGGTGCCCTGCAAAAACCTTGACATTGACATCAATGACTATCGGGACTTTGAGCCATTTGAAGGTGAAACCGATGTCATACCGAGGTCGATGCCACCTGGAGTTGGTAGGAATCAAATTGTTTTCGGGTGATTTGGGGCAACTAGAACGGGCCATGAAAACACAACGTCTTCTTCTGTGTCGTGCCATTTCCAGAGCCCCTGATGGTTGTGGCTGTAGACATGCAGAAACAAAGCAACGAGACCAACCATTACACCATGGAGTACATGACCGACCTCCTGGTGGTCCGTCGTGCTCAACAGTTTGCCATCGGCGTCACCTTCAACCGTCCACTGGTGCCATCTGACGATTTCCAGCTGGAGTTTCTGATTGGTAAGATTCCTTGATAATCTCTCCTCTGGGTGGTGTCCCTCAGAGGAATATTGATCTTTGGTGAAGTCTCTATGAACTCGTCACATCTGCCCACTGGGGCTTTTGTCCAGTCTTCCAGGCTAAGCCTCTGAAGAGGCTATATCCTCACA